GGGAAAGATGGAGGAGAACAAAATCTGCCTCGTTGATCCGGTATTAGCATGGCGATCAAAACAGCAGCCTAATCAATAATCACGACAGAACAAAGGCTATAGGCCAGCATGGACCTTTTAACTCTTATCAACAAATGTGAGGGCCCACCTGTTAAAAGTAACGGTAAAGTCACTCTTATAAATAGGTTGAGGGGTTAATTATATAAGCAGAGTCCGTACAACAACTCCCGGCTGCGTGCACTCGCTCAGGCGGCCGTTAAAGAAGTAACTTCGCTAGAATTGAGTCTAAAGCCGAACAGACGCTAAAATGCCCGGGAAAAGTTGCTAATAGAAGCGTTTGTTCCACGTAGCAAAAACGGTACGAGAAAAATAAAGCCGCTGTCCTATTTCTCAACGGCGAAACGAGCAAAAGCTTTGAAAACGAACATTTAAATATGTATACTCACCTTCACAACGACGAAAACACTAAAACAGTCAACTACACAGCACAGAGCAACTTCCCCCCTCTTTAAATCATGTATAGTCTATTTTAGACAATAAAACCAGAAAGAAATCCCCGAAGAACTCGCTACAGAAGTGAAGTAACCCAGCTTTCCCGCAGGCTTCGGCTTAATGGAGTCCAGCCGTCCCTCTTTCTCCCTCCCTCTTTCCAGCAGCAGATGATAACGTCACTCCTCCAATCCCACTTTTCCTTTCATACTGAGACACTGGTCGCCCACTGGTCCCCCACTGGTCGCCCACTGGTTCCCCACTGGTCCCCCGTCACCTGTGGGTTACTTTCCGCTCCACCTTTTATAAATTATGCTTTTTTTCATCACTATTAGAAGTAATTAGGATTTGTATTAGCTGTAACATTTTAAAGCTGCAAAGAAATAGTTTGTGGCTACTGAGATCTTTTACTTAAGTAAAAATAGCTATACTAGAGAAATAGATGTGTTACAAGAAAATATGTATTCAAAATTTTACTCAAATAAAATTTCAAAAGTTAAATTGAAATGACCAAAACTTAGATATATTTACTTTAATTTAACAAGAAAGGCTGTGTCATATTTTACAGTGTGAGTATGGGTGCAAACAAGTAAAAGAAAGTACTATATTGTAATTTTAAAAACTATTGTCTACTCCTATAATTTACTACAAATAAAAATAATGAAAGTATTTATGTAAATTTTAATGTCAACATCACATTTGGCTTAGTAAATAAGATAATAAAAATGACTTAGCTTAAATGTGAACAGATTAAGGCTTTTGAATGTGTTTTATTACAGATTTTCTCAAACTGTAACCGTCCACTCTGCAAAATTCAGCAGATTGGGGCAGGAATTATAGTAAACAGACACAGACATGCAGTTAAAATCTCAAGATGCCTTTTATGGAAATAGAGCTGAGCCTGGAAGCAGCAGCAGCATCCAGGGACCTTTTGGTCTATCGCTCTGGGAGCACTAGCACAAACTAACAAGGCATTTTGGTTTTATCCCTTTTACAGTTTGAATAACTAAAAGATTTCTTCAAACCCCCTTTAAATCACTTCTCATTTTTTTTTAGCTATTGTAAACTAATTAATTCAGACTTAATGCGCCAGTGGGCAAATGTGAAGAGTAAAAATGATGCAGAAATATGGAGATATATACTTAAGATTCTTGACACTGCACATATATCAAGGAACATTTTACTGAATGTTGGTTTGTAGTCCAGGAGGGGGTATGTCAGACCATATCACATGCTCTTAAAAAGACATGCATTATTTTGGAATTGTTTTAAAACCATATGCTGGAATACATACAGCTACAGAGAAGTAAAAACAAACAAACAAACAAACAAACAAAAAAAAAAAACGGCATAATATCCTCTAACCAATAATGAAATAAAAATATAACATCTCACAAGTATCAGTGTTCCCTAAATGTACTTTAGTAAATGAACAAGTATAAAAACGTTTAACATAAGAAACTCACATTTTATTTTCTTCTGCATAGATGTACAAAGTATAATCTTCACAAAAGGTCAGTTATTACCATTAATTTACAGAAACGCAGTAGCAGTTTACTTTGATTTTCTAATACATCTTACACATGCATCTGCAGAAGTTTCCCAGTAGCTCTAACTATGAAAAATAATATTGTGTTTAAAGTTTTCTAGTCCCTCTGCACCAAATTAAGCTATAATGGGCCATTTGCTGATAGATTATCATATCTGCAAGCATAACACACACACAGAATATAAAGATACTGTCTGCAAGTTGTTGCTGTCTTCACAGCTCAGATGAAAAATGGCATTTTATATGTATAGTCAATCAATTGATCACACAAATGACAAGTTTGGAGGAAAAGGAGAGGAAAAAAGCCGCTGTCTCCTTTCTTGCCAAAGCAGCAGCACAATGCACACTCCAGCACATACTCTCCAAGTGGTCTGCAGTAAATACCCATGAATCATCAGTGTTTTTGGCTCGGTCTCCTGGTGAACTCAGCTCAGAAATCTGGGCCTCCAGACTGTGGTCGGTATCAACGCGATTTACACTACAACCTCCATCCCCGCAGCTCTGACCCCCTTGTCAGTGTCTGGCAGCTGATCCATTGCCTTTTATAGGCTGTGTTTTAATTGCAGAGTAAACATTTGAGTCAGTGAGATGCAGAGCAGGAGAGTCAGATAGACAGCTGGCTTGGCTGCTGATGATGTGCATGAGGAGTGAGGAGATGAAGGGGAGAGAGATGTAGAGAAGTGGAGTATATAAATGGAGGCCTTGAAGACGTTTACACGGTCTGCATGAATCACCTTTAGGAAAAAAAAAAATCTGTTCTTAGGCGTTTGGATTGTAGTAGATATGTTACAGAGTAGCCAAGCAAACCTTTTCATGTACTTCATGCCAATATAACATGTTAGCTACCTAAAAACATAACTGACCAACTCACACAATTATAGTAGAATATAGAGTATTAACATCTGTCAAAATTGCTCAATTAGTTAAGGGCAGTAAATGAAAATAGGGATTGGACAACAGATGGTCAATAGTGGTCTTTGTTCCAGTATTAACAAGAGATGACTGACCTCTTCTGGTCAAACACAGAACAGCAGGGCCTAATGCATTATTTATGGGAATCAGCAGGTCACATCTGCGAGCCTTGCCTTTGGAGTTGCTTGACTACATTAAAAACCCACGTGTGGAGCCATGATTGCTTGTGGGTTACAATGTGGCCTATTCACAATCTATGTCGGTTTTGTTGCTCAGATCGGGGGCGACTCGGAAAGAATCTGACGAACAAATAGCTCAATTGTCCTCCAGTGGTGAAACGGGACCATCTATTCTCTGATGAGAACAAACCTCCTTCTACATGACAGAAGTTCCAAATTCAATAATTTTTTATTACTATGATCTGTGAGATATAATAGCAAGAAGCTGCAACTGTATGCAAAAAATGTTTTAATACAAGGAAATACATGGCTTTAGATGGCAGTAAGAATCCATTACAGGCATGGGTTATTGCACAGCTCTAAGGGCAGACAAAAAAAGTCTTTCCCAAATATCAGTTCAAAGTTAGAACAATAGTGGTACATGATACAAGTTCAACACATTCCACTCAATACACCCACAAAAAGTTTCATTGTGCATTTTTTTCCCCCACACCCAATGTCTGGTTACATACAATATAGCTAAAGGCCCTTCTTTACTGACCTTTTAAAGACTGACACACCTGTGACCCTTATACTTAAAAATGCCTTCAAACTGACGTCAACGGGGTGTTGGATCTACAAAACATGCAACTTTAGACGTTTCCCTGATGCTTGTGATGCCTTTAACAAGAAAAATATACTGTCATCATTCAAAATGCTGTGCATTCAATGCTCATGTAATCAAAAGTACAATGTATCTTGACAAAAGTTTTTTTTTTAATGCTCTTCAGTTTACCTGCTAATTTTTAGCAAGTAGAGTGAACACAGTTGAAAATCTGTGTTTGAATCGAGAACTGCTCCAACTCACATACATTTTGGAAACTCGCAGCCAAATTACAGACACTGGCAGGAATATTACTGTTACCATGGTGTGTCCACACTCCTACATTACATATTTGCTGTGTCTAAACCCACACAGTGCAATTTAAAGATGCAGGAGCAACGGGGTGGACCTGTTACTATATTTTCCATTGCATCCCTGCCATAACACGGTTAAACTTCTGTCTATTGCTGCAATGTAGAATGTGCTCAGCAAAAATGTCTAAATAAAATCAATAGTTCTACATAAATAAAAGATATATTTCTACATAATTTCTGTGCAATTCATGGCTGATGAGTGTGCAAGAACCATCAGCTCAAATGTTGAAACACTTTCATATGACACTTCTTTATTTGTCCCTGCTTCCATACTACTTCCTGGTCAGCCATCTGGTCATATGAAAGGCAGCCTGGTTTCAGTCAGCAGGACTTTGTACACACAACACAGGCATTAAACACTAATAGCCCGATTCCATACAGTGGTGGGCCAGTCAACAATAGCCCTCGACTGTGTGGAACAGTAAAGCAGCAGCTTGCCCCATAGTAAATTAAAATAAGCTCTTTGATAGCTACAGTATTATGACAGGTAGGACACAAAGAAAACATGTGACAATAACCAATCCTGTCATGACTTCATCTTTCAATTTCTTCATATTTTGCTTACATAATGTCTTATGTATGACTTGATCAGAAACCAATGAACAATCATGAGCCGTTTCCTACTCCATGAAAACCACAAAGTTTCTGTGTGTGTTGGCACTCTATGCCTTCTTATTCTAACATCCATTTACTATTAAAAGACACTGGACAGAGAGATTTGTAAGCTTTCTGAGTTCTATGTAATTATTATTTGGTGTTTTAAAGGGATTTTTTAAAACAAACCTAAGACGAGAGCCATGATAATCAGCTAATGTCATTTTTAGAAAACAGAATATTTGCTGTCATCAGGTGTCCGTAAATTTTCTTTTTGGAGTAGTGTCATTTGTGGTAACTGGAAAACACAGAGGTCTGTAAAAATACATAAACTCTTCTTATACACAAATAAGACAAAGCTGACAAACATGTCCTTTGCTCTTAACAGGAAAAAGTAAATTAGTCGCAAATTCATAAAAAGGCAAACAAGATGTGTATTATATCACAAAAGCCTCATTAAAAAAAAGAAATCTACTTCTATACTAGGCCAATTACACTGAGCATCTAACAGCAGCTAGACACAAAAGTTATTTAGCCACAAGTTTGAATCCCATGAGACCCATGTTTACACCCACTTGAAAATACCTAGGAAAAATATTTATTTGCTTTAAGAAAGAAATACATCAGATTCAATTGATTTCATCTGGATATCAATATAAAGATGAGCAGAGAAAATTCTCTCCATAACTTATATTTAATAAAGAAACATGGAGATTGTTTTTAACTACTGTCTTTGTTATAAGTGACCTCTTGTCTAGTAAATTGCATCAAGAGATTTGAATTTATGGACCGTGTGTAAGAATATAACTATACATGTCCTTGTATAAGAGCCTAGACCACAAGCCATGTGCGGTTGTAAACCTCTGTAAACAAATTTCACACTGGAACTAATGATATCCTGTGACATTTTGTCCCTGGTATTAAAACAAAAACTGTCACTAAACATAAAAGGAAATTTTGTTAGTACAGAAAACTGGCGCTTTGATTTTGCATTTGGTGCATATCTGTTTGAGTCAAACAACGTCAAAAAAAAGGCAAATATTAAAAATGTAATAAAAACAAACTAACTATATAATGTCTGTTATGTCTTTCTTCATACTTTCAAACATTATTAAAGGGATAATGTCCTAAGAGTAACATGTTTTGGCTAATATTGAAAGGCAGCATAAATTCTTTTCAGATGTATTAACTAAATTTTATTTCAAGCATAGAACTGCTATTTTTGATAATTATATTTCTCTGTCCATTTAAAAAAGTAAAAAAAAAAAAAAAAAAAAAGAAAATCAGCATGTCAGTCAATACTGATATTGTGTCGGGCTGACACAAATAAATCACTAAATGGGAAACACTGGACCAACTCAAAGCCTCATTGAGTGAGAGTCAAGTGTATCACAAGGCTATAAACCAAGTCTGTGGGAGAGAGGCTGGTGTGAAGCACTGACTGACAGGAAGCCTATGGACACCATCATCAAGCAGCAGCTGTCTGTGTTAAGGTTCAAGAAATAGAGATTAAGTTAAAACTCTCTTACACTCACTGCAACCAACTTCTATACATCAAATGCATTAGACTCATGTTCCCTGTTTATCTGCAGCTTGTGGTCATACTGGTGAAGGGTGTGCTGCCTTAGGGGTCCAACACCATCACCCTTAGAGTGAGCGACTGAGTACAAACTACATAAACAGACACAGAATTGTACATCGTGGAATGACAGTTTGTCAGTAATGATTAAAGGTTTTATGACAACAAGATGACAGGTAGATAAAGGAAAAATATGATGAGTGCATTTGAGCTGTCTGCCTGCATGAGAAATACATGAATTGTCTGTTTTTGTGTCTTGTGAAGAAGATAACATACTCCCTCAGGGTTATGAACCATCATCCAAGTGACTGTGTTGTAACGAAGGTGCTTCCTTAGTCTGGCTCTGGGGTATCTTCTGTTGGGTCAGAGGGTGTCGTGTTCTGCTTGTATATGAAGGTCAACAGGAAGAGTGCTATGTCATGTGAGCACCAGTAGCCTGTGTGAGAGGTCACTGCCGACCAGTAGCGATTCTCCACCAGACCCTCTCTGAGCTCAAAGTCGATGCGCCGTTCCAGCTCCACTGTAAGACAGAAAAAGAGTCCATTTGTGAGGTAATAACTAATAATCTCGCAGTGTGAGCGAACGTTAATAGCTGAGTGCTGGGCAGGTAGGTGCACTAACATGGCGTGTCTGGTGTGGGTGAGGTCGGTTGAGTTATGGTGGAGAGGCCGTATGCTGACTGGCTTTCTGTTCGCTTCTGCTCCTCTTCCTCATTGTTTGCCACTCCCTCCAGTCCTAAAGATACTGAGGGCTGGCTGTTGGAACGAGAGAAACGTGAGAAGAGAATGCCTCCAATGCCCTTCCCTATGCTCGCCGCTCCTACATTGACAAAGTGAGAAAAGGAAGAGAGGTCAGGATGTGGTCCAGAACACAACAAAAAGAAAAGCAGCAATATTTTTTTTTCTTTTTCATTATTTTTAACTCATTAAAAGAGGTATAGAAGAAGCAAAGTGTATGAACCCATTCTCCATTCTGCCACATGATGGCACTGTTGACGTAGTGCTGTAGTCAAAGGACGTCGTTTTAAAGTGTTCAAATTGGCAGGTACCTTATTTCAAAGAATGTGAAAGACCGCTCTAGTCATGTAGACCATCAGAGCCAAGTCTTGACCAAAATTTTAAAAATAATGTCATACCCAGTATGCTGGCCTTGCCCAGATTGGTGATCGACTCCCCATAGTGCCTGCGGGGGAGTACAGGAGAAGTGCTCGGGCTGGGGATGCTCTCACTGTCAGATGTTGGGTCTTTAACCGGATTCAGGAAGATTGGTCGGATCTCATCATAGGGTGTGGGGTTAGTGGCGCTACACCTGATCAAGAACGCAAGCTCCAAATATTCAGAACTGAAAACATTCATATGTGCACAAGGGATAACATCAAGTGATATAAGATATTAAGTTCTTACCAATGTATCTGAACAGGTGAGACATTGCTGTAATGTTTGAGAACGAGGGGCTCCAGTCTGTACGCCTGAACAGAGCAAAGAAACTTCATCTAGCTTACAGTACACATAAATGACTATTTCAAGTTCTTTAAAAATGTACAGTGTGCATTTTGCACATCTGTCCGAGTTAGTTTCAAATGTCTGGTTTCATTAAAGGAACACAGTGGAAAATGTCCTATAAAAGTAAATTCCTACTCATAAATCACACCCCAAAGGTGTATGGGCTTCTGCTGCTCCTAAAGAATCAATTCAAAAAGGATTATGAAAGGAAAAAAAAGACAATTCTGATCGGCTGTCACAACCCTGATTGAGAGAGAGCATCTGTATGGACTGAGGCAGTAAAAGGCGACTGACCACAGGGTCTGTGGGGTGGAAGACATTGAAGAGTCTGCTGCAAATGGAGGTGGGCAGGATGTGGTCCTGGTGGCAGCTGGTACCAGGACGGATCCCCCTCAGGGACAAGAACACAGCCAGAGGAGAACCCATGCAGAAGAAGTTCTCCACCTGAAAGAGAAATGGTTAAAAGATCATACAAGACAGTCTTTGGTATTGGTCAAACATCTTTTGTTTTCACATTTAATTCAATATGATACAATGTGCATCAATTTACTGTAATTTGATTAAATGCTTCGTTTGTTTTGTTATGAAAATCAAGTAATTATGTTGTACTCTTGACATAAATGACTTTCTCATGAAAACAACACACATTAAAAAGTTACCATTAAATAATTACATTAGAGAATTCCAATGAGAATACTACCTTAAATTTCAGGGCAGGAGGTGCTGAAGGTTTTGAGGCTTCTAGCATGAGAAGCTGATTTTGCAGCTCTCGTAACCTGTTGAGAACAAAAAAGACATTTAAAACTAGTCTAAAAACACTAAGTTGACAATTGATAGTAATATAATCTTCCCTGTATATTTGCACTAATGTTACTATAGTTACCTAAACACACACACACGCTGCCTGACAAAAATAAACAGAAAACTGAACTCTGCACCTGTAAATGGAGCATGAGATCATCAGTTCACAGCACACAGTGTATTATGAAAGCTTAAAAAGGCAAACGCCGGGTTTAATGTTGAATTTAGAAGACAGAATCTGACATCCAGCTGGTTCATTGTCTGGTATTCTGCTGCTAAGCAGAATTTTACCTCAGATTACTATCAAAATTGATCAAAAATCATATGGCTTGACGGTTTTCTCCTTGGCGTTTCCAAAAAAGAACTTAAGGATCCTTAAAGACATATACGTAGCTACTCATACAGTCCCTGAAGCCAATGTACACTAGCAAGGCCTACCTAATTCTTGTGAGCCGTATCTGCTCTAAAAGGTGCTTCTCTTCATAGGACATCCAGCACAGATCCAGCTCCTCTTCCACAGTGTGATGCTCCTGCAGACAGAATCGCACAGGATCCCATCCTGTCATGATATCGTAGGTGATGACACAGCCGAGGGAGTGAGACACTATGGACACTTTGCCGCCCCTCTCCTCAAACTCAGGATTCCGGGAGCAGAAAAGTATGTACAATCTGTTTAACTCCTGTGTTAGACCCTTGGTAATCTACAAGGACAGGAAGTGGAGAAGATTATTAGGAAAACGGGGTGCAACAGAGATGATAGTTTCTCAAATTACAGTCTCACCTCATCCCTGTAAAGAGGGCTGTTGTAGTACATGATGTCCATGGCACTGCTGTTGAGGAGATCTCTTAATCCTCTTACTTTGTCTGGTGTGATCGAGTCTACTGTATCTACACAAACGTACCAATAACACAGTTCAAAATACATAAGATGGTGCTTGTATTTACACATAAAGACAACTTTTCTAATACCTTTAAAACAGTTTTGATTAGGCAGTGTAGAGTTGGTGAGCTCATGTGCTCTAATCTCACAACTGTAATAACTGAATGAGGACATTCAGCTAATTCCACATCTTGGCCTATGTTTATCTGCACAGCGGTCATGATTACAACGGGTCACCAGGTTACTGACACTTAACTGTCAACATCATTATTTTCACCATCAGTTAATTTGTCTATTATTTTAGCAGTCAACTGATGTTCATTTAACCATTTACTGAACAAACAAACAAAAAAAAAACAGGAGCTGTAACCATAGAACGACTTGACAAGCTCAGTGAAGCACAAACCAAACAAAGAGGAATAAGCACACACTCAAAAAACACACACAAACCTCCGTCCAATGTGAGTTTGGAGCGCCACTCGACAGGCAGGAACTCCACGTGTTCGTCATTGTGCTGTGAAAAGTGCTTCTCCTCCATCTTCCTCACCCCCTCCCTCAGCCTCAATAGATACACAAAGAATTGTATATGAGGACAATATTGGACAATACTGTACTTTACAGTGTATTTGGCTAATCTGCCAAAACACCGAGCCAAAAATGCGGCATAAGTTTTTGATTTAGAAACAATATCATCATCACATTGTATGGCCAGCAGTGTATATAATGACAGATTCTGAGTAACATCCTAGCCCTGCTACAGCCTCACCAGGGAGTCTGTGTTTGTACTCGTTCTCACAGACTTTAATGGCTGCAGGGAAGGGAAGAATGATGCCTATTTTACTATTCACTGGTGTAGCAGCTCCTCCCATGTAGCACACAGCAGTATGGCAGAATTAGCACACAGGATATGCTAAATACACAGAGAGAGGGCGAAGTAGGGTGTTGACATGGGTAAATGAAACTTGAGAGAGGCTTTTAGGTGACTGGTCTGTGGACTGGGACTCTAATGCAGGCTTTGACAGGACTATCTAGTGTGTCACATGGAACTTTTATTGTGAGAGGGTTGAGTGCTGCATTATAAACATTTCTGTGCTGTGCCCACAAGGATACCTTAGCGTTTAGGTTTGAAATACTAGGTTTACATTTTAAAGACACACTCTCTGATTCAGTTTGGGAGCCTAATAATGCCCCAAACCACCACAACTATTTCTTTCACTGCTGAAGAGAAGTCTTGCAAAAGGCATGTCGCTGAAATTAATTCTGATTTAAAGTAAAACAAACAAACAAACAAACTAAAAGAAAACTGGGTAGGATGAGAAACGTGTATATGCTTGAATCCAGACTGGGTTCTGGATGTGAGGCTGAAGTGCTCTGCAGCTGACTTGGTCTACTTTACCTACTTAGCTGGCCTAAGCCATATGTATTGGCCTGACACCAACTGTGTGACACAGAGACACACATGGCTCTAGTCCCCACATTCTGTACCACTGCCTAAAGTTGTGCCCGAGAGGTTGATATTTATGGCACATCAAGGTTTTACTGTCTTGAAGTGTGGAATGGTGTCAAAAAGAAAACAAGCATTCCCACAAATCTTCAGTCAAGTCATGTTGTTGAAAACTTCAACTCACATTCCAGTGTTTTTAATAATGCGTCCCTGGTCCATCTTCTGTCCAATCCCGTGGACCACAAAGACAATGTGTGTAGTCTGGGGGGGTCTGTCCTCCGGTGAGGCCTCCTCAACATAGCCCCGATGGAGCCGTGTGCCACTGCTGGAGGCTGGAAGAGGAAGGGAACAGGGGCTGAGCGTAATTTATTGCAACCAGCTGTCTATTTGACATTCTTGTACAAAAAAAGTAAAGCACTTTTACGGTATTTTCTGTCATATTTACAATCTGTTCAATAGGAGGCTATAAATATCTGAACGATGGTGTTTCAGTAATGTGCTGTTCTGTGTCAAAAGAGGTCAGTAAGTGAGACAGGGAATCGTTCTGTGACTATGACCCGAGACCCCGTGGCAGCGCTTGTCATGTGCCTTGATGGCTAAGCCTGTGTCCTTATTTAGAATCAATAGTGTAGCCCGGCCATGTGTTGTGTGGTAACACATGTTAGCAGCCGTTGGAATTTGCTGCTGTCTGGATAAAACTAAGGAGATTTCCCTTCGCTAGCTATTTATGGGTCTGGGAGACTGAGGTAACCAGTGCCTGCTCCTCCTTTTATAATCTGGGAGCAGGAGATAAAAATTAACTGTAGAGCTGGGAAACTGTAGATTAGAATAAGTCCTCCATACAAATCAAATATCAGACATTGGGTCAAACTTTAGTTGTCTTTTCTGTTAAAACCTAGTCCCTGAAAACAGCAGATGGACACTGTGTGATTTTCTGTGCTAATCCAGTTAAGAGACTGAAGTGGACTCAGTCATGTTTAAATATGTCTTACCAAATGGTTGTTAATACTCACAAATGACTGCATATTGCAAATGGAGCAGTAAGTACGCCACTGGCGTATTTCAACCAAATGAATTGGGAAAGCTTTTTTTTTTTTTTAAATCTAAATGTTTGGTTTCACACGAGTCTTCCTGAAAGTTATAACAAACTGTCTATATTACAGGGTCTGAAGCCACGCTGGAGGGGTCTCTAAGGCTGTGGTGTAAACCGGTGCTTTAAACTAAATGCTAACATGCTGGTGTTTACCATGTTAGTTTAGCATATTAGCATACTAACATTTGCTAATTAGTAAGAAACATGAAGTATAGTCAAGGGAATTCATCATTAACTTCTCAGGGTTTTGGTCATAAATCAAATATGATAATGACCTAATGATGCTGCTACATGAAAAGTTAAGGGATCCCTATAGCTGCTGTTATCATTCATCCTGAGAGGGAGACGAACATATGCACCAAATTAAATTAGGCGTTGAGACATTTCATTTAAAATTAATGCCAAAACCATGGTGGTGCTAGAGACTAAATTCAATACAATACAGTGTCTGTGAACACTGAATATCTGGGGTCCATACAGACCTTTGGAGAAGCCCAGCTTCTGGGTAACTGTGCGTGCAATTTTGGAAGTGGTAGCATCACTGTAGAGGTAGACCTCATCCACGCTGTGCCAGTCCACATGGTTTCGACTCAGCTTCAGACTGTGGATGTCTACAGGTGGGCAGTGAAAGAGAAGTGAGCAAACAAATAGACAGGGGAAAGAGAGGAAAACATTGACAGATGGTGTGGAAATTGGACAAAGGGCACAATCAGTGAAAAGATTCACCAAGACAGTGTTGTGATTACAAATTTTAGGAAGAGCACAGAGGGAGAGAGATGAATGATATTAAGAATGACATCAAATTATCATCGTCTTAAACGCAGTACAAAAAGTAAACTAAATCTCAACCAAATGCAGCCTGAAGCATTGATCTGCAGTAGGAAAATAAAACCACATCAAATGATCGCACACCACAATTGTATATTTCAGCTCTTGCTTATCTGTTCTGCTTGTGCATCCTGAGTAGATTGGAGCTATTTCTGTGCTTCTGATGTCAAAAGATATAAATTTTTATCAATCATTTTCACTTTAAATTCTGTTTTTTCCCAGCTTGTTCCTTAAAAGTATAATGCAGTGACCAGAGCAAGCAAGAGCAGTAATATGGCTAGATAGGGGACAGCATTTGCTACAGAAGCCAAGAGGGATAAATGAAACCTTTTGACTTGAGAGAGTTATGTCTCTGCAGCATGTCCCTTAAATGTCCTTTGCAGTCAAGTTCATCTGTATGAGATTGGTGGAAGACTTTGGCAGCGGTCTCGGGCACAGTCACTGCCCATTCATATGCAAGAAGGGGATCAGTACAGTGCTGCATGAATGCTTGTTGCAGATTACTTTTTTACTAGCTTGAAACAATAAAAAAATGACATCTGAGATGTATATAATAAATATTACACTTGCCAGGATGTTTAAGCATTTAGAGGTCTCTCTTTCCACTTCTCATGTCAATTAATAAAACAAGCTAGAGTGTATATCAACAGAGCCTATGTGTTTGTGTGTCACATAGTGGAGAAACACTGGCCTTTGAAGCCACACAGGCCAATTTGTTTCACTGGACAAGCATGACCGGTGGGTAATAAGAGACTAAACAATTATTGCACCTTAGGTGAGTCCTTTTCATGCTGAGTGCAACCAGTGTAAAAATGACTGCCTCTAAAAGGAGAAGGACAAGCAGAGTCTGGAAGAAGAAGAGTTTATCACATGGAACATAAGTGTGGGACTAAAGGGCACCAGTAACATTTAGAATAACATAGGGGATGACATTGTTTGTTTTGGCCAGATAAAATGGTAAGGCTCATGTTCAGAGGAATTATGGCAGCTCACACACTTGCCTCTGCCACACCTTCTACCTTTCATTGTGTGTAACATACTTGGCCAAATAAGGGTGATTATCTTTGCAGCCCCTGAAATGAAACCACTCAACCGCAAAGCAGCCATATATTTCTACTACTATATAGTAGAATCTCTACCACACATAATAATACGAACCACTTCTGACAGCAGCAGCGAAGGGCAACAATCAACTCTCAAGGAAGAGCACTTTTCACCATCCACTCTGGCTTAACCTCAAACAGTTTAAAGTGGCCTCCTTTTCTCACCTACCTCAGTCACAGGTGAAGACACTGGCAATGGCCATGAGACCTACACACTGCTTTAAAAGGATGGCCACTTCACACTGTTGGACTTCACTGTTGGCCAAGTCCAGTATAAAACAGGGGATCTTAAAGATCAACTAGAATACACTGAACTTCTCCAGTTAGCTGGACACATACTCTGAGACATCTCTGTTCAGCGTTTTTGAAGACAGTCAATACACCCAGAACTAGAACAGTGGTGGACCTCTAAGAGGCTGACTCTACACAACATATTTGGTGGCCATATTAAAGTGACACAATGGCTCCTCTGTTCAGCTCATCACTTGTGCTTGGCTCTCAACAGAGAGCGTTGTTCATCGCCCTTAAAGCGGAAGCTGGTGATGGTGGTTCATTAGTTACTGGTTACATTGCCAGAAGGGATGAGAGAAAAAAGCTGTGGGAGATAGGGTCAGAGAGGTAGAATGGGGTGAAGTATGGTTGGCTTTTTTGAGGATACACTTGTTTATTCCACATACACTTGCCCTTGTAGATGAGTGAATTATGTTGTCTACTCAAAAGCCCATCCAAGGGATGAGAGACAGAGGTTTCCTCAAAAAGCAACAACAGCACTGGTGCCAAACTCTGCATCACACCACAAAAGGAGATCTAGCAACTAGGCCCAGTGCAATGGAGATGGGGGAGAGCAGCCTGTATCCCTTTTAATGCAACCATTTCTAACTGAGCCTAGGTCTAAATCCAAATATTAGATTTCAAGGGTCTGTACCACAAACAAAAGGAAAATCTAGCTCTGCAGAGACCTAGGATGTACACGGAGAGACGGAGAGAGGGCATAAACTAACATCTAACACAGCAGAAGTAAAACAAAGACATGGTGTCTTACAGTACCTTGGCAGCATTTGCGCTTGTGACATGTAGTTTTAGCACTCGTCTGATATCCACTCCATTTGAACAGAAAAGGAAGGTAGAAATGGGGCAGGTGGGAGAGAACTAACAACCGACAGAGAGTGAGTAATGGCCATTATCCTGGTGTTAGTCACAAAGGCTACTGCTGTCATCACACTTGAACAGGTCAATCTATCAAGCAGCACTGCTATCAGGTTTCCACTTCAAGGCCCTGAATACAAAGCCTGTACTGGTTACTGAAATAACCTGGTTAATGCAGGTACATGTCATGAAAATAACAGATCAGCCAAAACTGCAGCGCTGCTTGACATACACCCAGGATGACCGAGGTAGCCTCTGAATTACAGAAATCTACAGTCTTTAATATGAAAAATAAACATGTGACAAATGTAACTACCTCTTTTTTTAAATATTTAACTGGTGTATGTGTAACACACACTGGTAATCTCCTTAGGTTTTGTATACATGACTAAATTATGAAGAAACTATTAAAAACACAACTATTGTATATTAAGGACTATGAAGTTATTGAACATTTCAAGACATTCTGTACAAAACTGGAAACACAAATAAGAGCGCATGTTCTACACTGAATCACATTTTTGTGGAGTAATTAAATCATTCACTTAATGAATTGGCATTTTTCATGGAGAGAAAAGGATTATTACTGTGATATATAGCTTGATAACTACCGTATCAACCTTTGTTGTCTGTTTCACAGAATGACTTGGCCAACAAGTCGGTGTGATACACACAGAAAAACACTGATGGACAGGAACTAAACGGAGGTTGGTAAATATGTGTCGCACTGGGATCTGAGTTTGGCTTGTTCTGCCATTTAAACAGGTCACCTCAGCATTTGCTAATCAAATAACCAAAGTCCACAAATCTCAGCTCTCACTAAATCATTCATTCCATGACAACACAAACATCAGACTTGCAAATGTCAGCAGTGTCTCCCTGAGCAGAGGTGAAGGGCTGGGTAGGAAGAGGAGAGGCCTGCTGAGTGCACAGGACGTTGGTTTGCTGTAAAAGCTAGACGTGAAGTCCATTTGGGCGTTACAGCACTAATAGATCCATCCATAAAGAGGTGTCCCTATTGACTGGAATATTTACAATGCGCAGAACCCTCATATGGAAGCCGTAAGGAACAAATAACTTTTATTTGTGCAGTAGATTAGTTTGCAGTAATCTTTGGAGTTGAGGACACACAACTTTGTTACTTGAAGCCAAAACTGACTAACCAACAATCATTTCCAGACCAGACTGATAAGCTTAGACAATCTTGTTCTAAACTTTTTTCTCTTTCCACCTAAAGATTTAAAACAATCCCATGAACTAGTAAATAGGTGTGTATACAATTTGCTTGCCTTGTTTTTTTTTTTTAAAGCATGTGTCATCAGTCATTACTCATACACTGTGTTCACATCCTCTAGTGCTGGTTAAAGAAATGTGATGCTGATTACGTAATGTACAAAAATAATGTACAAAAATAAACTTGTAGGCCTTGCCTACCTCAAAAATACCAGAACTATTATGCTGACAGTTAACCCTGTGCTCAGCCCACTGGGTGCTGACTCCATTTTTTTCTTGATGCCTTAAACTGGGACACACCCTATAGTTTCCAAGGTGGGTTTACAGCTCTATACTCACATACACACCAACTGGAAAGGCTTAAAGTGAACAGGAAGGATCCTCTTTATAGTAACAGTTTTTTCTGATTCTTTCATTTTCTCTATCTCATATTCAGTTCTCTGGAAAAAAAAAACCCACACACTGAAGACAACTTTAGACCACAGTCCTGTTTCCCCTGTGTTCAAATGGCAGGAGTAATTCTTCAAAAAGCAACACGGAGAACGAAAACAAAATGATTAATTATTAATATACACTGGAGGTCACTATATATTTCTTACTTTGGATTTTGGCTTACTTCTTTACAGTTCATGAAATATCAGCAGAAAAGTGCATTTGTATCATGAGAGAACAGGATATTTGTGCACTTCTTGTACCTAGAAACAGTCCTGCCTACAATGTGACATTATGCCTGCATAGCACTCTGGTATGCCTACTGTACCATATGTCTTCTGCTTTAATAACCTTTAGCCTCAGACAGCTACTGAGGCCCAAAGAAAAAGACAGAAAGGAGAGATGAGGAGAGGAAGAGAAAGAGCAGAGGATATGTATGTACTACAGTAACGTCAGGGTGCATCTGGATTGCTTTATGATTCATTTATCAACACTAATGCAGTGCAAGGTAGCCTTCTGATGGCTCCAAGAGCTTCAGATTATTAGTTGCAGGATAAAATAGCCCACTGGCTCCCTGTAACGGCAGCCTGAACAAGGTGAGTTAACAGACTCTATCACTCACTTTGCTTTACTGCTCAGCTAAATATAGAAATGGAAAACAAAGCCAACAGAAAGGTTCTAAGAATGAGTTGAATGTTTTTCCTACTGTGGGTTAAATTAAATAAAGATGTGCAAGATACAGTTTTAACTGCATAATTACAGAACTGCAACAATTACTTTTGCTAAAATCATAACATCTGTGTGTTTTAAATTGGCAAGGGTCCTCCTAGTGTTTTCAAACCAACCCAAGTACCCTTGCACTATATTTCACAGGGCTTGCAGATAATGACTAGGATCACATGTCCTCTGGACTGTTTATGCCCGTGTTCATATACAGATCATTTAGTGTCCATGTGTGCATGTACACTAATACCTGTGGAACAAAAGTGACCTTCCAGTTTCTTCTCAAAACTTTTGTGATTCAGTTTAGTCCCAGCAGCAAGCAGGAGTATTATGAGTTCTTGCCAAATGGTGACAATGCAAATAAGATGGTCCAGTCAACTGTGATCACCTTCTTCCGTTCTGTTGATGGCTGTTTCTTAGGTCTAAATTTATTCTGAACAGGGGAAGCACAAGTGTCCTGACAGGTCAGCCACACTGAGGCAAGCAAAAATTTAGGTAGTTTAGCAATCAATAACCCGATCAAGTAACTGAGGCCTTGTTATTTATCAGTCAGTCATTATACAGTTCTTATTTAGATGCAACCAGTCAGAGCTACGGAATCTAGATACATCTTAAATGCCATTCACTGAATTAGTATTTATGTTCTAATTTTACTTTGGTGTTGTTCTGAAACGTTTCTTTTTCTCTACCACACACTTCTTATAATGTACACCATACATTTCTTCACTCGCTTTAACAGTTGCTGCATCTTTGTCTCTCTGTTTTTTTTTTATCTGCCACATTCACACACCCACACATTCATCACCAGTGAAGGTCCTGTAGATCTGGCTGGCTTAAGGAGAATCAAAGAACCTCTTTCTTATTGCCTTTCACAGCTAAAGTCTGTGAGAGGGACATGGCAGAATGTTGGAGCTGCACCTGTTTTACACTGGGAGGATGAGACAACACAACCTATATGCAAGTAATTAGAGGCACCTACTTCATTCATTTGTCTTGACTGTGCAGCAATACTACAGCAAACAGGGCTGTGCACATAATTCACCACCACCAGTCACAGTGCTTTTCTTCTGGCTTTATTGTGAAGGTGATGACTATATTTTTTATGGAATGTTTTTCTAGTAATGCTACAGGGGAGCATTTCATCTCTTCAATCTCCTGGCGCAGCACTATATAGATGTTGCTTTACAAGATACTGCCTGACTGGAATAATAATAGTACAAAGTCAATGAACCCCACACCACACACCAACTCGATGAGAAAATTCACCAACAAATCTGATTACAGTAGTGTTAACTGCTTTTATTTATTACCCAAAACCTTAGTAACCACAATGGAAGCTTCAGTGTTGTGTTGCTTAAAAGATCTGATCGTTTGCAGCGTTTTACATTTCTAACTAGGGCTGAGCAATATATCAGATAAATTGATTTAGTTTTGGAATGATGTGAAAAATACCTAAATTGCAAAATTGAGATTAGTGCTTCCTCTGCTGTCACTCAAATGCCAACACCATCAGCTCTCTGGGGTTAGACAGTAACGTAAGCTGTTGCCGTTTCTTTGGAGACACCGGCACGTGTGAACTTTGCCAGTCAACATCCTTAAGTAATGTGGCCACAGCAGCTAAAGACAAAGAAATAATACTAAAGAAAGGTAGTCATGGTGCTTCAGCAAAACGGATCAGTTTTGCAAAGTCCGACATGGAACACACAACTGGTCTATGTAAAGTCTGTAAAAGCTTTATTCATACTAAAAGCAGCAGGACAACAAACCTGTTGCTGTTTATTTTTAGGTGGCTCTTCCAGATGTGTTTCTTAAGTCATTCCCCACCACTGGTGTTTTATTTTGTTTAAAATGATTATAATTTGTAACAAATAATGCAAAGTGACACTCTTGCAAGTGCTGCTTTTTTGTAATTGCTGCACAGCTGCTCCTAGTGATATTCTTCACAGCGTGAATGTTTACGAAGGATAACATTCTTGATGTTTTTCTTTTGTTAATATCGCACATGTGGCCTTACTTACTGGGGAACAGCATATATTTTTAATAAAGAAAACTATTTTTGAATCTAGTTTTCTCTTGAGTTCATGTAGACAAGAAAAAAAAAATCTGTTAAAATCGTGACATCCATAAAACTAAAGAAAGAAATTAAGATTTAGCTTTGAGGTCATTTCACTCAGCCCTATTTACAATATTCTTCATCTCTAAAATTAATAGTATCCTTCTTCTACCCACACCCTTCCCATTCTCTCACCATCTTTGCTATCCACAGTCCTGACCTCCAGATCCGTCTCGGACATCTGCATCTGTTGCCCACAGAAATGGTTCAGGTGCTCCTCCTCAATGAGGTCACTCTCCTCTTCCTCTAACGGAAGCCAGGAACCATCAATAAACCACTGGCCTCTCATCACCGGAATATGGTCTTGTTCTGATAAAGAAAAAACAAACAAACATGTGAACAACAGATGTGAAACAATAACAAAATTGCAAAACATTTTGGAGCCAGGAGCATAAGAAGTGTGGACTTGGCTAGGTTAAACTGCATTAGTAGATAATTAACATTTTAATTTTGTTTTGCTCTGTATATATTAAGCAGTAATCCTCCAAAATAAATGTTAACACTAACACCTTCTAGGAAATGATTCTCCTTCAGAATGTGTTTAACTCAGCGAGTCTTACAAATCAAGGATGGCCAAGTCTCGGTGGCTTAGAGAGCTAGGCCAGTTTTGATTACCGTCTTGTGTGACATTATTAACTGAATCTCTGGTGGGGAATACAAGTGTAAAAGCACATCTGAATGTAGGTATACTTTGCAAAAGGCCACCATAGTGTGTGCCTTTCGGAACAGAGTGAGCCTGCTTATGTCAACAAATACAAAGCACATCAACATAGTTACAGAGCCCCACACAACACTGATGACGACAAAAAAACAACAACAAAAAAAAAAACACTCATAGTAGATACAATCATTTATTTGACAAGGGGGTTAATACCTAGTCAGGTAAGATAAGTATGTAGTATGTAAGGTTGACATACCATGATCTTGTAACCTTGTGTACTACATTTACATGTTTGAACACAAAGCTGTTACAGACATGTCCCAAAATCTTTTAGCCCATCTCAATTGCTGTAACTCAGGGTCAACATGACACTGTATTTGCAGTGGTATAGGTTAGACTGAAACAGCACAGCAAGGGTCAGAAACGACTATAAAGGACTTCCATCCACAGCATGAAGATTAAGCACAATGACTACTTCTCTAAATGTCACTTGGCATTAAGCTTCAAAGGGTCCAGCTACTCACGAACCCCTTCGCTGAGGTCAGGTTTTCCCGAGGCTCTATCGTGATTAATATGTTTTTCTGCCTTTTCCTGGAAATATCCACTAATTAGTTAGCACAGATCAGCTGAGCACACTACACTATCTTCCTGGACTGTTCCGATGTCCCCAAAAGATCAGACTAGAGTAATTATATGGACAACAAACTGCAAAACAATCCAGGACACAACATGTAAATACACTGAATGAATAATTAGCTGCTGGTTAGTATCTTTTATGGGAAAACCTTGTTTGCAATGAGACTGAATAAAACTTGTGAGAGGCTGTGGGTCATTAATCTCTATGCTGACAGCCATGATACTGCAGAATAAAAAGACATATGAACACATGAATATATTGTGAGTGAGTGCACATGGACATGCACTCAAGTTAGTGATGCTGCTGGGACCTGCCACTAATAGCTACATTAACTGTGACTGAGGCAGAACAGAATATAACTTTATACATTTTGCTCAAGGATTTTTTTTAAATGATACTCACGTTTCCAGTAAACAGGATAGCATTCCCTGTCTTTAATATCTACTTCATAAAGTCCTCCCCGGACGCAAACAGGCTCTACGTTGATTTCAATGCTATCAGAGTCCCGCTCATCCGAGGACACGGTGGATGTGTCCAAGGATCCCCGGGCTCCGTGCACACTGCTGGTCCTCGTCTCCACCAGTACTGCACCGTTCAGTCCTCTGCTCTCAGCGCCGTTATTATCGCTCTGTCTTTCCCCGCCGCTGATCTGAGAACCTGCTGCTCCAGGGTTCAGCTCACAATATTTCCGAAACATAAGCTCGATTTTTAGTGAGTCATGCCCGACGAAGGGCTTCCAAGTCTTCTTGTCCTCTTTAAAAAACCATCGTACCTCTTCCGGACCGAGCTCCGTGACCACCTCGTTGAAGCGGTGCTTGGAGCTGTTGGACTTCGACCACTTTCTCCTCTCGAACAACGGACCGGCGTTGCTCCCATCTACGTAGTCCAGAGAACCGTTGCCGAGATAGGCTTCCGGGGAAGGCAGGTCCAACAGTAACGCGCCCTGGGTCTGTAGAAGCGGCAGGTGTCCATCCAGTCCCGACTGGACTGAGGACATTCCTGCCTGCATCGTTTCGTCCATAGGAATCATCTCATGACAGTACGAAAACACATCGCTTCTCAAATCTCACTCCCTGTTGTTGTTATTGACAGTGTTAATGTTACTGTCGGTGCTCAAAGAACTTAACGTGGTTTTGTTTGTAACGTTAATGTTGAAAGTGCTCATCACTACCTGAGCAACCCAACCTAACCGTTACCTCCACGTCTGTCACTTTAACAAAGCTCTCATTACCCCACAAGATTTCATACTAGTTATTGGTAAAATTAAAATCCAAACAGAATTACAGACCACCAGACAAGCTCCCGCCGCATTTCCTCGAGTCCACTGCAGCTGTGTGCGTTACAGCTAGCTAACCAGCTAAGCTAATAAATCGGGTTACAACTCCGGGGCTAGCGTATTAGCTAGTCACCAACAGTGCAACCGGAAAACCTATTTGACCGTCCTTTACCCACCTCTAACTAATATAAACGTGTGTCAAACCACTTTCCTGTCACGGAGTCGCATTCGTCCAGCGTAATATTACGGTCATAGTACTTTCAGTGTTTCGGGTCTCTGAGCATTTTCCGATTCATTCGTTGTCCAAACAAACCTCACATAGAGACAGAGCTGTAGTGTGCGTGTTTTGGCTTGACAACTGACGTAGGGATCACAGGATTCATTCGTGAACGCGTACGTAAAAAGTGCGAGCATTTTTCTATCCCGTCTCTATGAAAATGCATTCTTCTTATTGTACACTAGATGAAGACAAAAACCTATTAATGGCTATGGGGCTTTCTTTCATCACTGACAACTTGAAACGACTTGATCTACCACTAAAGGGCACCAAAGACCTACTCATTATAAAGCTAATACTGCCACCCCGGCTGGCCTACTACTTTTGGCCAGGCTAGAGTACGTTTATTTTCTAAAAATACTATTTCACACTACCAGACTTTCTAGTCACAAGGGTGGGCAAAATAACAGGAACAGTCCAATACATCTGCAAACTTTGCTACAGCCACAAACATTTAAATAAAACAAAACAAACACATACAAATTCTTTAATATAAACTATTTTCCTAAAGAATATAATTGATATAATTTGATTAAAGATGTAAATCTATGAGACACAGAGTAATTGCATCTTTGTGTAAGCTCAGCCCAGAAGTCACTGTGTTGTTAAACTACAAAATATTTTTGTAATGTATCTGTTCTAGAGCACAATCAGTGTGTTTACATCTTTGTGTTACAGTACACGAGTGTGTATTGGCATCTGCGTGCATAAGCATGCATATAGGTATGCATGTTTATGTGCCCATTTGTTTGTTTATGCAAGTGCACGTGTTTGCATAATTGTGTGTTTTGTGTAGTGCTATTTGTGTGTACTGCTGGTCCAGGTGATGCTGGGGCCGTGGTGTGGTCTGCGGGGAGAGAAAGAGAGGGATAGGACACAGGCCCAGGCAGCTGTATTTGGAATAAACAGACATTACCCTGCTGTGTTCTAATTTACTGCAGACTGGGAATTAAACTTTAAACTCATCCCGCCTCTCTGCAGTAGAATACTCTGTGCTTCTGGCCATTGACAGCCACTTGCACAATGTGCGTTATTAAAGTACTACTCCACCCAAAATCTGTGTTTTTAGTATCACATTCACACCCTCTGTAGGCTCAAAAGATGGTTGTAAAAAAGACACAAAGCTACCAGGGGAGCTTTGAATGCTTTGAGGGTAGTAGTACACTGTGGAAACAGGATTGTATCTATCTCTGTTTTAGCTAAATTATGTGTTTGGAGCATATCGAGCTTATAAATGGACATCTGAGAACTGGATTATCCTGCACAAGTGGTTTGGGATGTTTCCATGGATGTTTTGATAGTTTTTAACCACCCTGAAAATCTGTCACATTGAAAACCATTGTAACTGACTGAAATCAAGCTGGGAACAGCTCATTATCAACAAAGACAGTTTTTACAAGCACCTTTGTAGGGCACTTGTGGGTGTTTGATACTCAGATGATCGATAAAGGCAGCATGATTGGAATGGTGCCATCAGTTATTCATAATCCATAGCCCACACTGTGTTATATTTGCATTTTATAGTTTTGATAGTAGAACAGTTAAGGCAAAACCTAAAAAACTGAAGATGTTAAAGGTTTGTTTTTGTTTTCATTATTCTCGATTAGTTATGAATTGTCTAAAGAATGTTTTGCACTTTGAGTCAACCAACACGAACATTCTAATAAGGTTGTTTCCCTGATGACTGATACTAAAAAAAATGCCCTAATATTGCATAACTATGAGTGCAAATCTTATTCATATTACAGAAATATCAAATGTGTATGACCAGAAATCTGAGATCTTGCCAAGAGTGTTCTCCATTTGTAGGTTTACACTAGAGAATGACATGTGACTTTCTTAAAAGAATTAATCAAATTCTTTATGTCTGGAGTAAAGGTCAAACAGGTTGGTTTCTCTCTCCCTCTCTTTCTCCCTCTCTCTCTTTCTACTCTGATGTTTTGCAACCACCAGGCCCACCACCTGGATGAGTAGATGACAAACAACCTGCAAATTTTCCTTCCAGTAACTGACCAAATAGATATTTATAGGCAGCTGGTCACCTCCCTAACCCACTGGGCCCCCCTCTCCTCAATTACAACTGTAAGAGCTCCCTTTAAAGACCAGTTGTGTCACTTCTGGCTTTGTTCTTAAACAAAAAAAATCTGTCCCTCATCTACCTGTAATTGGGCTGACTCTGGAATGTGCTTGATGTTCCTGTGTGGGTCATTGCTGCTTCAACTGATAGGCATGGGTTGCTGGGACATGAGAGATTATTAGGTCCATCCAGTCAACTCTGTTTTACTTTAATTTTTCTTTTACTTGCTATTTCTTTCTTTCTTTCTTACCTCTGTTTCACTCACTCCAAGCCACCTACAGTATTTTCTCAGGATGAAGGATCGCCGTATTAAAATGAAAAACCCCACAAGCTCATGATAAATAGAACAGTACGCCTATTGATTGGGTTTGTTTGGCCACTCTGAACTATACCACCTTGCTATGGTGGGGTTGCTGGATGCACTACAAAGACAATCTACCGCATATCACTAGTACTTACTGAGGTGATGCTGACCATGGACAGATGGTTGAGAGGCGATTCCAGGGTGTTTACTGTATTGTTACTAAAGGGAAGCAATTTAGAGAGTTCAAATTCCACTTGCAAGGAAAAAAAAATGTTGAAACAGTAGTTGGCAGGCTACCAAAAGCCTGAGCCCCTAATTGTTTTCATTAATAGCATATAATCTCAAAGTGCTTACTCTGTATTCTGGGAAAAATTATAGTGTTATTTTCAAGACAGGTACATCTGGGCAGTCCCAGAGGGTAAGTTTAGAAATGTGTCTGTTGCAAACACATGAATCCCAGGTGAAACGTTTTAGGAGTTTTACACTCCAACCACAGATACAGTATGTTGGTGTCTTTTTGAAGTTGTTGTGTACCTTTTGGTGTTTAAGCAACCTTGTCCCCAGGATCCAGGTCTTTGGTTCATTCATTCACTCCTGAATCCTTCACCTTTCACCCCCAGCTCTACTCCCACTGTCACCCACTAGCCACCCTGGATAAGTAAACACATGACGTAATGTGGAGTGTTTGCCTCCTACTTGCCTCCACACACATCCAGAGCAGTTTTAGGTGGCGATAGGTGGGTGTGGTCAACAGGGTCTTGAAGAAGAGGACGAGCTGGTAATAGTGCAAATGGAGGGGAATTTAACAAGGCGGGTTTTGGGAAAATATGATGGAAAGCAGGGGCACATGCAGGTCGCTAACAGGGCAGGACCTAAAGTAGAGACATCACGGAGCTGGTTGATCTGTCTGGGGTGGGGCTCCTCCGTCCCTGCAGTCAAGTTAGCCCCCCACCCCAGCTGTCTGGGATCCAGGTTCCAGGTGAGTGACTGGGGCTGTAGCACACAGCAGCTGCCTGGTCCTGCTGCCCATAACAATCTCCTCCAGAGTCACCAGACCTATTGTCATTCAGACTCCCCCCACAATTCACAGGTCTGCTATCCATCCACACTGGAGCCTGGTCAGGGATGGGCTGCCTGACTGCTGTCACTGTGTTGTGTGTGTGTGGGAGGATGTGAACTTGTCAAGAATAATATGTTTCTATATGTGGTGGTATTCTTATTACAATGTGTTCTTATAAAAGAAACCTCTTATTGTTTGTTCTTGTGTTTGTGTTGCCATCCCGTTTGTTATCTGACTTGAAAAACAAACAAGTAAAAGACTTACTTTAGTTCAAAGTGGGTGAGATTGAATACAAGCAAATTTAAAGGAAAAAGTGAGGTATGGAGTAATACAGTACTCTTACTGTAGCTTAGTATAAAGGAAACAGGCTTTACCCAGAGGTTTAAAAAAAACATTTGAAGCTCACTCATTATCAAGGTATGTGTTGCTTGTTTAATTTGTTTCAAAATAAAATGCAGAACTGGTACCTTGCGGTTTTAAGTGGAGTTATCTGCCGCACTTTTTCTTGGCCAGTGGCTTCTTGGGAGTCTCTGCTGCTTCCTTAGAAACCTCACAATAAGTACAAAACTCAAGGGAGTTAATGTGATCTTCTCATTTAACTCTTTGCAAGAAAGCGAGTAAGCATTCTTGCGAAAATGTTGAACAATTCTCTCAACACACTACCAGACCACCGCTTCCTTGCTTCTGTCAACTTGGACAGAACAAACCCATGTGCCGCACCTTTTTATAAGATCAACAGGTATGCATGCCTGGTTTGTGTCTGCAGACTGAACTACCTGAGGACAATCACTTGGCCTGACTGAGCCAGAGCATGCATGAAGCACACCTTTAGCCCATTAAAATGATCAGGAAAGTGCAATAACTGTACATGTAAGTTTTGATGTACTACACTTTTCAGCATGTCATAACAGACTAGCCCCACTCCATAACATGTCAGCCAGGAGAAGACGCAGTATGCATCCAAACACAGAGAAAGAACAAAGCAGAGGGCATGAAAGAGTTCAGAAAATTGGACGGTGTTGGAATTACAAACTGTGTAAATTATTACTTGTGGATAACGTTGAACATTTTGCATTTTAAGGCAGTGTTTGAACATCAGTCACTTTCACCTCCACTTAGAAGTAAACTTGCTGACAAAACAGACAGCCATGGAGTGGAAATTGCCAGGAAGATTAATGAGGTGTGTCTTTCCTCTCTTTCACACTGTTCTTCTCTTTGTCCCTCTGTCTGTGCAGACTGTGTTTCAGTATGTGTGTGTGTGGGGGGGGGTCCATGTGGTGTGCCCCGATGGGGTAACATGCTGAAGTAGACAAGCAGAGGAGACAGCGGGGTGATGTTCCTCTCACTCAGCTTTATACACATCAAACAGGGAGCTAGTGTTACCTTGTTTAGACAAACACCTTCTATAGCTCATTTTCTCCTCACATTTCTCCTGCTAGCCTCTTCTACACACTTATTATCACTCTTTTTTCACACAAAACCTGTTGCTGCAAAAAACTGAGACATTAAAGGAATAGCATACATTTGTTTTCTTGCTGAGAGTTAGGTGAGAGCATCAATATCATTCTTATAAATCCTGCATGTTTATTAAATATGAGGCTACAGCCAGCAGCTGCATAGCATAGCATAAAGACTAGGGG